GCCTAGTGTGCTGGCCTACGCTGTCCACTGTCAGACGGACGCTGATGGACGTCCTGTGGCCGGGGTGGTGGTCCTCTGCAGGGACCGGCTGACCGGAGCCACATACAGCCACCAGGCTACGGTACAGGTACCATTAAACAAATATGTAACTAATACCGTATCTATATTGCACCATGATGTGTTGAATTGTGCGTGCTTGTCTGTTTTCCAGACTGTGATCCACGAGCTGCTCCATGCACTTGGTTTTTCTAAAGATCTCTTCCACACCTGGACCGACTGTTCCTCCAAATCTCAAGGTTTATAAAGATATTCAGATTTATATCACTGGATTCCATTTGTATTCATTCATTGAGGTAGTACATTATGATATTTGTTTGATTGCCTTCTTTGTTGTGTTATTTCACTTGTTGTGCAAGTTAACAACATTTAAAAAAGGTGTGGAATTATTCTGGTAGAGCTGAATTGAATATTTGTAAGTTTATTGTGTGGTAAAAACAAAACAACAATCTCTAATATTCTCTAAGGACTTTTTTTTAAACTTTACTTTACTTTTAATATACTAATACTTTGATATCAAGAATCCTAGATGAAGAAAGTAAAGTACAGGCTAGAAAACAATCTTTCATTTTTATTTAAGCTACATAAAAAGAAGAATAAAGTAAAAAGTGCTTTTAATAATAATAATAATAATGATAAACTATTCGAAAAGTCACTTTACTTGGTGAAATAATGATTTAAACTTTTCGGCACAACAATTAGATACAATCGGGTTTAGTGAAGTACAAAAAACAAATGCATGACAAAAAAAAAAAGGACAAACACATGATGCACTTGAGCCAAATCCTTTAAAAATATATATTTATATATTGAATAAAATAAGTCTAGTTCACAATAAGCGTCACATGCATTTGTAAAAAAAAATGGTTCTTCCAATGTGTGTTTTTTCTTCTTCCGTGCTGCAGGGAGTGCTGTCTGCTCTCCTCGAGGCAAAGTGACTCACTCTGATGCTTCGGGTCAGATGAGGATCTACACCCCCTCCGTCATCTCCGCCCTGCAGAGGCTCCTGGGGTCCGCTGACCCTGAGCTGGGGGGGCCGCTCGAGAACCTGGTACCGCACCGCTCTTAATCTACCTTTTTTTTCTCTTCAAATTTCTTTTATGCTTTCCTCATTTTTCTTTACACCTTCAGGATCTTCCTCTGGGGAGGACGTCCTCTCACTGGGAGGCCCGGGTCCTGCAGGGCTCCATCATGGCGGCGGTGCTGGAGGACCCCCCCACGGTCCGGATCGACCCGGTCACCCTGGCTGCTCTACAGGATACAGGCTGGTACACCGTGAACATGAGCCGGGCACAGAGTCTGGTGTGGGGAGAGGGTGAGGGAGATAAACCGTGATCAAATGCACAGTAATGATCATAATTGGTAGAAACTGACAGGACAGTAGAGCCAGAACAGCTACAGTTGCAAGTTGATTAAAACATCAAAAATAGAATGACATGAATGTGTTTCTTAAAGGCGAAGGAGCCATGTTTGGTTCCCTGTCAACCTGTCACAACAAGTCCTCGTCCTTTTTCTGCACTGGAAGGTAGATTTTTAATAATATATATGTATTTTCTACAACAACTTCCTTTTAATCCCACATTTGCAGCACTAATGTTTGCATTGTTTCCTCTTTGTCAGTGGATCTGGGTGTCATTATCTTCACCTCCACAAGGGGGAGTGTCAGACTGATCGATACCTGGAGGGCTGTCGAGTGTACAAACCCCTCAAGAATGGAGTATGTTTCATCTTTTATTGGAGAAAATTATAGAGAATCATATTCGTTGGCAATGTGCTTCAGATTATAGAGTAAAATACATGCGTTATTTACTCATTTTGCATTGCATGAAGTCTTCTACTTGATCAAAATGTCCAAAATGAAGCATTTTCTTCACATACTTTCACCTTTTTGTCGTTCTGTAAAGCAGACATATTGGGGTCCTTTCTATGTTTGAGCCTAAACACAATCTGTGGCATTTTATCCTGTTGCAGCAACACACTCTCACAGTCTGTCATTATTTTGTCTTCCAGAGTGAATGTTGGAAAGAGGGAAATGGCGGAGAAGAGGACTGGAGCGGGGAGATGTTTGGTTTTCACAGCCGCTGCTTCTTCTCAAACCTGACCAGACAGGTGTGTGTGTGTGTGTGTAGCGTGCCTGTAGCGTGCCTGTCACCCGACTGAACCCTAACCAACCATTTTCTATTTCAGAACCAGAGTGAGGTTCCTTTGTCCGGCAGCTCTGAGGAGGGTCGGTGTTACAAACACAGGTGTAGAGGACCCAACAGATACCAAGTCCAGGTGTCTGGCTCTGAATGGGAGGACTGTCCAGCAGGGGACACCGTTAAGGTAACAGGACATGACCTTAGCTACAGTTTAAACTACAATAGAGTCTTTCAATGGTATGTATCACACTAACCACTTTGTGAGGTATTTGGAATTAAACATCCATATTTGCTGTTATTACCTTTCCTATGTATATTGAGGAACAACTGCATTGTTTTCTTAAGGTAATATGAGAAATGTAGATGGATAGATAGAAATAATTGTTTATATTTCATTTTCTTTTGTCGGTAAACATTTTGGGGCATGAAGAAAAAAGTGATAACCTGAAATGAAATGTTTTAAGAAGGCTCAGCATTATTTACAAGATGTTATCATATCCAATAATCACTTTTTAAATGTCACGGTTATCATCAATATCGATGTATTGCCACACTCCTAATAGATGGTATGAGTGTATACGAATGAAAATCATGTGTGTACTGACATTACACATTTTTCAGTGTTAATGTGACAATGATATTCTGACAACCTCGCAGATGCCCAGTTCCCATAAGAGCTCTAATCACAGAATCCATTGTGTCTTTGCTGTTTTTAACGTTCAGATAAAAGGATATCTGGGTTCGGTCCACTGTCCTGACGGGAGGTTATGTCGGTACGATGACATCACTCCTCCCTCTAATGATGTCACTACATTTCCTGCTTCTGCCACAAGGCAAGTGCGATTTTACAAGAGACCCCTTTAAAATGTAACCTGTAACTCAGTCAGTTACGTCCCACCTCTGCTCAAACTCACCTCACTTTACTGCTCTTTGCTCAGTGACCCGTATGAGGCTGTCCCGTCAGCGCAGGACTGGAGCTGGCCCCCCCTCAGACCCGCCGCGGAGCTGACTGCAGCCTCAGCGCTCTGCCTCACGGCGGCTGTGTGTGTCCTCTCTGCAGCCGTGGTGTGTTACAGGAAGTGTTGCTCCTGCAGGGTCCGGATCCACGCTGCCTCGGAGCATCACACTGATCTGTAGCTAACACAGACTCCAAAAACTATGAAAAATCAGTGTTTGATTGGCTTGTTTTTCCTCAGGATAAATCCTTTATTTTTATGAGAAAGAGAAATAATGGATTCCAACAAAAAGTACATTTTTTATTATTTTTGTATTTATAGAATACAGCAAAGTCATGAAAAGGTGAATGTTTACCAGCTGGTTTACTATTCCATGAATAATGATAAAATGTAACAAAAAAAATAACATAATAAAAGGATATGGCCAAACAAACTACAAACATCAGATGTATTACTGACGGAATCATTAAAGAAAGATGCAATGAGTCACAGAGAAATTATCTTTTACTCTAGTTGACTGTATTATACTTTTTTAATATTATAAACCAAATGAAGTCGAAGTAATAACAGTACTATGTAAAGCTACACCATGAGCCCAGAACGTTTCATAAATCATCCATAAGACATCTTTTAAAAGTACAATTGTGTTTATTAAAAACAGTAGGAATAAGACATGGCCTACTGTTTTTGAAAATTCTATA